CAAAATTATATCATATCTGTCGAAAAAAATCATTTTCAGTGTGACATGTCATCATCCTTCACAGGAGAATGTAACTTAAAACATGCAGAATATACGAATCTTGAGAGATGGATTTGTCTCCAACTCCAGCAAATCGGTTGTTTGATTAGCAAGACAAGCCCAAATCGAGCTGGTGTGATATGATCCATCCATCCTGTGACAGGGTCACAGATCAAGAGTACTGGAACAGATGAGCTGGCCTGTATTTTTCTTTGGTTGGACGCATTGAATTGCAGACCAAATTTGAGACAATTTAGGACAGGAGATCTAACATGGTGATTGCTGGAAGACAGATAAGGAGATAAGTGGGGGACAAAGCAGAGGAGAGGATATGGACCATGATCAACGGCACAGCAGCTTTGACGAAACCACAAGCCTGAAAAAGATTGATCAGTAGCATCTTCAGATTAATTATTATACTGTTAAATTGCCCAGTGTTAACCCTACCCATGTGCAAGTAATCTCTTTTTTTCTCTCAGAGATGTAGAACACATGATCAAGTAATCGGAGCAACTAAACAAATGTAGTAATCTGTTCTTCTAAGGATAGTAAGTAAATGGGTTTCAGATTCAGACCAGTGCAGCACAATTGATGATGGCCTCTCTTTTGTGATTAGTAGTACTAGTAGGACATGATCTGACGCATTTGCCAATAGTTAATCAACTGCCGGTTCATTAATTATGGTTGTTAGCGAATCATGATCCTTGACCCAAATCCAACCCCACAAACAATTCCCCTCCTTTTTTTCTCTCTTTAGACAGCACCATTGGGAGAACAACAATATTTATATTAAAACACAAGATGCTCAGAATATCTCATCGGTGACACAACCCCAATTACATGAAAGAAAGTCACCGATAAGCTGAATCACACTAACTCTCTTAACTTTACTTTATCTTAGTTAGTGTTTGACTTAAAATATTGAGCTGCACTTTGCGTACCGTCCTCATCTATATCTGATGAAAAGAGTACGTGGTGGAGTATATATATAAGAGTTGTTGTAATGTCAGTTTGTTGGAAATTTCTCTCTGTTTTTCTTCGAGATTGAAATTTCAGAGTTGACCAGATAACTTTGGAGAATGATCTTGAATAATTAATTACTTATGAGACTTTGATATGACTTGAGGTAGGAAAATAGTAAAGGGAAGTCATTGGCTTCCCTATATTATGAGGTGGCTTACACTTTCTTAATTAAGCTATTTTAGTACTAATTATCGAATACAAACCAGAATTATACATACATCTCATGCAACTCTATGGCTAGGAGATTTGAGGCAGTGTAAATCAAATGTCATTAACTTACATACTAGAAAAAAGGAAATGGTTCAAGTCCTGAGGTTCATGTGCATCCTAATTCTAGAGGCCATAAGCAACACTTTAATTATTAAAAAATACAATGGAAAAGTGCCTGAAAGTCCCATAACGATAGTACTCCTTAAATTGTGGTTGGCATAAAAAGGACACTAGTAGATAATACTCCCTCCATCCCAAAATACTCTCTCCGTTTCAAAATGTTTGACACCGTTGACTTTTTAGTACGTGTTTGACCATTCGTCTTATTCAAAAAATTTAAGTAGTTATTTATTATTTTTATATCATTTGATTCATTGTTAAATATACTTTCATGTACACATATAGTTTTACATATTTCATAAATTTTTTTAATAAAATGAATGGTCAAACATGTGCTAAAAAGTCAACGGTGTCAAACATTTTGAAACGGAGGGAGTATAAGCATTTCTAGAATAGTGCTAAGTCAAATATTTTTCAACTTTAACTGTTAATAGCAAAAAAAAAGTTAATCATATAAATTTGATGTTACTAGATTTATCATTAAACAAACTATCATAATATATAACTCTTTTTAATTAAAGCATCTTAACTTTATAGATATTGTTGGTCAAAATAGCATCTCGAAAACTGTGTTGAAATTCAAAATGCTTATATTTTAAGATGGAGGGAGTACCTAATATGAATATACATTTAACCTGTTAGTCATGGGAAATTGCAAATGCAATGCTAAAGCATTGCGAATAAAATAAGTTAACATGGGATTCTCTTGCAGATTTCCAACATTGGGCAGCACCTAACATGCATGCACGGCTTATTGTGATTAACTAGTACAAAGCCTACGTATTTTTTTTTGACGAAATAGTACAAAGTTTACGTCGATCTAGCCAAAATATAATTTAAACTAATGCTAACGCTAACTCCAGTCAAGATGTTGGATTGGATTAGTGCTCGGTCATTATGATTATCCACCAGACCATCCCCATCTACAGTCAAATTATATATTAAAAAAATGATCTGGAGACATGCATGCACCGTGCAAGCATATAGTTTAAATTACTTTTAAACTTTTACGTACTGTATATAGTTCAAAAATGGGCTAAACGGTTCAATCTTGGATGAAATCTCATGTGATGTCCTGTGATTATCGATGGGGTTGAAAACGGTTACGGGAATTCCTGATCGACCTACGCTTTCCGATTTTTACCAACCAAACCATCTAAAAATGGTAACTAATAAAAACATAAAAAAAGTAAAAAAAAAAACAAAAACGAAAACATAAACGTTTTGCTGTTACACCGGCTGTCTCACTATTTTACTATATTTTCATGAAAAATACCGTGTTTATAATACGGTAATTACCATATTTAATATTTGTGGTTTGTGTGTATCGAACCTATAGTTTAGAAGCCCATCAACTTCTCAATGAAATCTTTAATTTGAGTATATGCTTAAAGGAGAGACAATTTGTAATTTAATATAGTGTAAGCTTTAATTTATTTGGTCATATTATACAATCATGTTATGTTAAGTTAACTATGTGATTTTTGTAGTTCAATATTTTTCACATTCATTACTGGCCCGTTTTCGATCGATACCAACATTTTTTTAGTTATACCTTTTTATTCTGTTTTCAAGAAATATATGGTTGCGGAAATTATTAAAACTATTTTCTGATCATTTTCATCTCTAATTTTCGTCCATATTCTTGTTTTTTTTTGAATGATAACTTGTATAACCGCGACATATAATGACGGGCTCAGATCATCAATAGCACTCCCAATCATATCTCTCCCGCGCGAGGGAGGAGCACCGCGCGAGGAGAGCGCGCGATATATTCCGTGCATATAGAGGAAAACGGAGAATTATGTTGGTAGTTTAACATAAGGGCCCACCTTTTGTTTTTTTACTTCTTATTTTTAGTTTAGGAAACCTAAAAAAACAAACTTTTGGGAGGAGATTGTACGTAATTTCTTGGTGATTCTCTTATAGGCCGTAATTAATATGCTCATGACGTGTGAGTGTTATATATATATATATGTGTGTGAAGTAATAATGCAGAATAATATATTTATCATAATTTATTGTCCAGAGAAATGCCGTCCAATTTTTTATCACCTTTTCAAGATGTGTGATTGACAATCATCTATGTTTTCAAAAACAATGCGTGTCAAAGAAAAACTGTACGACAAAGTTTGCCGCAGGTCATATATTGTGGTTCAGAAATCACTCGTGCACACCTAAGAAAATAGATCTAACTTTTGATTCCAGAAACCACATCACTTACAAAGTTACAACAGCGACAATTAACTAAAACTCCCATGAATAAAAAATCTCAGCTAACTTAAGCGCTCTGACAAACCATAGAATCACTTAATTAAGCCGACCAAACACGTCTCGGTCAGTAAAGACAAGGCTAAACCATATTTAATCATGCAGTAATTTCCTCTGAATTTGCTTCATCAAACGCATTGCCCCCCACACACACGATGGTTGAAGAACAGCTGATCATAAACCTTCAGTTTCTGTGGTCAACAACACATGCATCACACCAGCAAATCAGAAACGAGACTGAAACCACAAATGGTTTTTTATAAAACCGCCGTGGGCAAATCTTGGATCGATCAATACCGCTGCACAAGCAGCATCTGAAACCGGTCGGCCGTCGCCCTCTCTTTATCATTCAGGAAACCTACAGGTGAGCGAATGGATAATACCAGAAAATTTTGTTCCATTTGCATTGTTATCCTTATATTAAATAAACACGCAGCACTTTGTTATATATAAACATCACCACTAGTTAATAGCACATTTTTAGATCGGAGAAAACCAAACACACCTAATACTACGAGTATATTTTTAGCATCGGTTCGGTTTTGAGATGAAGTATATTATTATACGATAAGTTATATTAGTCAAATTATTCGTGGTACTAACCGATAACGTTGTACTATATGTCTATTTTAGTATCAGTTCCGGTTCGAGTAGAAAGATATCAGTATATAATAACTCGTAATTTTATAATATTAAGTACATTATTCATACTAATTATTACACATATTTGTACATTTTTTTATCCCACTGAACAATGGTATTATACTGCTAGTACATTATACATAGGGCTTGTTTTGGCAAATATAATGTCAAAACATATACTAATTTTGGTAGCGCTAATTTTTTTAGCAACTTATGTAGGAGTATCTTATTTACACATTTTAATAGCAAACCAACACTAGACAAATTACTATTCAAATATTCTCTTAGTTTCAAAATATAATAAATCTGAATTCAAAATATAAGAGATTTTGTGTAGATGTGATAAAATAAATTTGGACAGATAAAAAAATCCGGTTAAACCAGATTTATTATATTAAGATATATCACATGGCACCATGCGGAGAGTACAATGCATGTATCCATGAGTGAATTCAGGTCAGCCGCGTCCATCTCGCATTGCCCCTGTGGACCGAGCCCACCGGGGGAGGAGAGGAGAGCAAGAGCACCAGCCACCACTGACCAGCAGCCGCAAGAAACGGGCCCCGCCACGGCGCTGTGGGCCCCACTTTTCAGCCACCGCCGACCAGCCGCCTCATCCACCCCACGCCCACCGCCTCCGTGGACCGGGCGCATGCACCGCTCCCATGGAGATTTACTACTAGTAGTAGTAGCATCCACTTCCACTTCGTCTCTCTCTCTCTCTCCCCCACCATCCAACACGCCGCCCCCTGCTGCTCCAAGCTTATCCTCTCCTTCTCTCTCCTCTCTCCTCTCTCCTCTCCTCTCTCTCTCTCTCTCGCTGAGATTGATCGATCTCGCTCGCTGTGGCGGCTGCTGCTGGGCTCTGATCCGTTTGATTTGGTGGTGCGCTCGCCGGAGGAGGAGGAGGAGGATCTTGATTTGTGTGTTTTTTTTTGGGGCGCATGTCCACGGCGGTGGCGCGCGGCGGGATGATGCCGGCGGGGCACGGGTTCGGGAAGGGGAAGGCGGCGGCGGTGGAGGAGGAGGAGGATGAGGTGAACGGGTTCTTCGTGGAGGAGGAGGAGGAGGAGGAGGAGGAGGAGGAGGCGGCGGTGTCGGATGCGTCGTCGATCGGGGCGGCGTCGTCGGACAGCTCGTCGATCGGGGAGAACTCGTCGTCGGAGAAGGAGGGGGAGGAGGAGGGGGAGGAGGTGGAGAGCAAGGCGAAGGAGGTGGCGGTGGAGGTGGAGGGAGGGGGGCTCGGGTTCCATGGATTGGGGACTCTCGAATCCCTGGAGGACGCCCTTCCCATCAAGTAAGCTTTGCTTCGGATTTACTGCTTTGCTTAGTTCTTCTATCTGATTTTCGTATGATTTGTTTTTTTTTGTCTCCGTTTTGGTATGTTTCGAAATGGTTTACTACCACCATAAAGTTGTTGATGCATCTGTGTCTTGAGAAAAAGAAATGGTTTTCTACTATTCAAAAAATAGTCAAATCTTTTGGAGAGATGGTTCATGTTCGTCTAGTGGAATTAGCTTTAGATCAAAGAAGTGGAGTTAGGAAAAAAGTTGCTGTCTCTTTTTTGTTTTGTTTCTAGAGCGAGCCTATCGACACGAACTATCTGGAAAGTTTAGCATCTTGGCATGAATCATCATGATGAAATCGATGAGCTATAGCTAGAAATCAATCCTGATATGTAACATACTACTATTTGCCTCGGATTTATATAGATCACTCTCTATTAGAGCGCATCAAGGATCAAATCTCTTGCAGAAAATAACCAAATTAAACCGCCGATTTATTTTTATTTTCTTTTGCAGGAGGGGACTCTCCAACTTCTACGCCGGCAAGTCCAAGTCGTTCACGAGCCTGGCCGAGGCGGCGGCGAAGGCGGCGGCGAAGGAGATCGCCAAGCCGGAGAACCCGTTCAACAAGCGCCGCCGCGTCCTCGCCGCGTGGTCGCGGCGGCGCGCGTCCTGCAGCTCGCTGGCCACCACCTACCTGCCCCCTCTCCTCGCCCCCGACCACGCCGTCGTCGAGGAGGAGGACGAGGAGGACGACTCCGACGCCGAGCAGTGCAGCGGCAGCGGCGGCGGCAACCGCCGGCGCGAGCCGACGTTCCCGCCGCCGAGGCTGAGCCTGCACGCGCAGAAGAGCAGCTTGACGCCGAGGAGCTCGAATCCGGCGTCGTCGTTTAGATCTCCTAGGTCATTCTCACTATCCGATCTCCAAAATGCAGGCTCCTATAACTAGCTCAAGAAAAAAAAATCTAGGTTTCTGCTTCTTCTCTTGTCTGAAAATTTTAGGGGTGTGAGAGAAATCATCAGTGTTGTTGTTACTGCTGCTGCTGCTGCTATATGATCAAGATATATATAACAAAAAAAAAGAACTCCATTTGTTTGTGTGCTTGTCTCTGGATGAACTCTGATCTTGATGATGATGATGAATCTTGTCTGTCTGGCATGAGGTCAACAACTCAACATTGCTATGAACAAAAATGGTAATAGGATCCATGGTGTGTGAATATGTGCATTTTAACCTGTGATGATGATTAGTTGTTTTGTTGGTCAACATTGCTATGAACAAAATGGTAATAGGATCCATGGTGTGTGAATATGTGCATTTTAACATGTGATGATGATGATTAGTGGTTTTGTTGGTCTATGAGGGTACAACATTGCTATGAACAAAATGGTAATAGGATCCATGGTGTGTGTGTATGTGCATTTTAACCTGTGATGATGATGATGATTAGTGGGTTTGTTGGGTCTATGAGGGTCAACATTTCTATGAACAAAATGGTAGGATCCATGTGTATGTGTGACATTTTAACCTGTGATGATGGTGATTAGTGGTTTGTTGGTCTAGGGCCCAATGCTGCTGTTGTTGGCTGCAGACAATTTGGTTGGTGATTAGTCCAATGCCTAATCTGATGAGCATCCGGTTGCTAGTGACAATTTCTTTTAGTTTCTAAGTTTCTTCAGCCTGATAAAATGGATTATCTGTGAAGTCAAACAGTAACTACTGGGCCAGCGACAAATCTAAGCATAGCACAAGAAAAGGAGTTCCTTTCAAGCAGGTAGCTTTCTATTCCCAAAAGTTTGCAAATATTAAAACACAATCAAGACGCCTTAATTGCAGATCTAGCACAAAGTGACTGTTTTTAACTCCCCGGTAGCTTCATTCTCACAACAACAAAATGGAAAACTAGAAGCATGCAGCAGCGAGATGCCACGTAAACGTTTCACGAAGCAGATCAATCAAACCCATTCTATACATATAAAACTTTTTGTGCAGGGCAGCATCGGTTTCAGAAACCAGCACATGAGATCCATCCATCCAGCATTCAAGCCAGCACATTTCTTCGTCACAAAATGCATTGGTACTGCTTCCCCGTCACAAAATATAAGAAATTTGAAAGAAATGTGTCAAATTTCTTTAAAATCTCATATATTATGGAACGGATGAAATACTTAGTAGTAGCACATTTCTTCTGAGTACTATGGCTGCTTTTGTTCCACCCAGCTCCCAACTCTCTTCCTTTTCTGCACGCACATTTTTTCAATCTACTAAACGGTGCTTTTTTAAAAAAAAATTATATATGAAAGTTGCTTAAAAAAATCATATTGATCTATTTTTGAAAAAAAAATAGCAAATACTTAATTAATCACGCGCTGATGGACCGCTTCGTTTTCCGTGCATAGGAGATTTGTACCTAACCTCCCCCAATGAACACAATCTATATCGCTATGTTTGGGGAGTTTCTAGCTGATGTAGTTTCTCCTATAATCAGAAACTCCCCCAAACAGTCCAACTTTTTGTTCAAATTCTAAGAAGCTGTAGCTATAGAATCTAGAAAATAAACTAGAAGCCAGAAGCTGGAAATCCAGCTTTTCCAGATTCTCAGAAGCTGGCTATCAACCAGTTGCTTCTCAGAATTTTAAACTCCCCAAACAGCCCAATAGTAGATTACCTGATTTTATGATAATATTTTTAGGGTATATAAATGAATAAATTATACTAACCATTACAAAGTTGAAAAGGTTAGTATGGAAATTGAATAATACTATAAGAAATTCATATATAGAATTTTTTTTATTAAAAATCATCCTCTTTAGGAGCTTAAGAAGTATGTCCGTGATAATCTATATAATCTGCAAGAGGAAAAAAAGACCTTGTGATGAATGGATTTATATGTTCCTATCTATATAATAAAGTATAGTATCTTTTTATTTGTGAATTGTGATGTTCTTTTAAGGTTTCCAAGGGACAACAAGGTAAGGTTATTAGGGTGGTGGTGGTGATGGATGGATGGGGGTATGGTAGTACCAGTAGTACTATGGTATCCTATGCCAAATTGTTAGCTAATCCGGGTGAGTTGTACCCCATCATCACCATGGTCAAGTGCCTGATTAGATAAGGATTTTGTGCTAGTACTATCACCCCTCTTAATTATGAGAGAGAGGAGAGGGATATTGTGACTGTAACTTAACCAGTAGCAGTAGCATCATTGGATATAAACCGGACGGCTCAGATCGCGAAGCGTACTGTTTATAGCACTGTAGCAGCAAATATTGTAGCGTGGGTACTGTTCACATCGGTACTGTAGCTTGCGCAGTGTTAATTTGCAGTTACAACTGTAACTGCACCGGATCCGAATTCGAGAGGAGAATCAAAGAACAGATGAGGAGGAGATAAGGTCTGGCCTTGAAAGGGAAGAAGGGAAAGGGACCGGACCCTGCACGTTGGCCGTGTCTCTCTGCGACTCTCTCTCTCTCTCTCTCTTGTTTCTCTCTCTACAGTACTATGTGTAGTGCTAACCTGATCTTATCCTGTTGATTAAAATATTCCGAGGCCGTACGGGTGGCCGAACATCTCTGCTGTGGCCTGACCCGTATTGTAATGGGTGGTGTGGGGCCCACCTGCCTGTCTTTCCAGCCAATGCTTGAGGGAGGTAGGTTGGCTTGGCAGTACTGTAGCTCTGGCTATAGGCTGAAGCTGCGAAAGGTTTTGTTTTTCTCCCTAGTTGTTTTGGATAGGGCTGCTAGCTTCAATTCATCTATAGCCAATCTAATAGCTCATTTATATAATAGTTACATACTATACTATTAAAACCTAGTCCCACCTGTTATAGACACACTGCGTCTTAGAGTCCGTGCTACAGCTGGCTACAAATCTGTAGCCCGTTGCTCTTCTCTCTCCTGATTTATCTTCTTAAAATATGTTTGCAACTGGCTTATAGCCTGCTATTGTACCTGCCCTAAGAGCAAGTTTAGTCCACTACTAGTTCCAAATCATTTATAGCCAATGTAATAACCAAGTCATACAATAATTGCTTACTATACTATTAATACCTGGTCCAACCTGTCATACACACATTACGTGTTGGAGTTCGTGCTGCAGTTGGCTACAAATCTGTAGCCCGCTGCTCTTCTCTCTCTTTCTTTACCTCTTTAAAATATGTTTATAGCTGGCTTATAGCCTGCTATTGTACCTGCTCTAAAGCGTTTGGATGCAGGTTTCACCTTTCTGTTTTTGACATGAAAATCGTCTCTCACTGGTTTATCAAAAACAGATAGAAACCCGGTAAAAATCAATGATTTTCGGTCAACATCGACACCTAGCGGTTTCACGAAAATCGATCAGTTTTGTGAGTACTCCTTCAGTGGTCTTGTTGACGGATTATACCCTGATGATATGATCAAACACCTACTCCCGTCGTCCCAAAAAGACCAACCTAGGAGAGGATTTGACTCCTCCTAGTACAACGAATCCGGATAACCCATATCCAGATTCATTGTCCTAAGAGAGATCATATCCCCACCTCTCCTAGGCTGGGGGTTTTTTTAGGACGGAGGGAGTATACGGCTTGTTTGGAGGACGTAATCAGTTGATAAGTACTCAAATGAAGCTGTCAAGATAGCAAGGAAGATAATAAGGATTTAGGTTCGACCCTCCGATGATAGGTAATAGTCCTACTCCTGTTAATCGGAGGTTGGTGTTGGCATCATATATATCAATCTCTCATGAGTACAATGGAAAGGAAAAACTAATCTAGTCTGTCGGGATATCGGCGTAAAGCTCAAGCAGTGATTGATCGCTAGCTGTTGTCAGCTTCCTCTAGAAGTAAGAAGACGAGATTGGAGGTACTGTGTATTTCTCATTAGTATGTTGGCTTTTATTACGCTTGTGTTGGCTTGTTCTTCTCTTCTCTTGGGAGTCTTCTTCTCTTGGGAGTCTTGTGTTTATACCCTCGGTTACCCTATTGTCCAAGTAGAACTAGGAAAACAAATATGAATATAATCTGGGTAGTTATGGTCGGGCCTAAATAGAATTTTGTCTCTTTTCTTATCAAGGACTCATTCTTTAGTTACTTAGGATTTTTGCCATATGCACGAGGCTTATGTCCGTATAGAACTTAGTATACGGTGGATCTGTTGAGCTAAGTACACATGTATAGGGTATCCCATATTTAGGACACTGACAACTCATTTGAAACACATGATTGGGAAAAAAATTGAAGTAGAAAAAAATACAGGATTTTGGTAGGAACGCAAGTGCAAAATAAAAGATTGCAAAACATAGGAATAGTCGTTTGATAAGGTCGTTGGAAAAAACACATGAATCAAATGAGAGATACTCATAAGAAATTTTTTAAGAGGTTGGAGTTCTTGCTAACTTTTCTTCAAAATCTCTATAGAATTATCCATTTCATAAAAATTTCAAAGAAAATGATAGGATTGAATCTTTTGTTTCAAATGGTGTTTGAGGATTGTTTTGTAAGATAGAAAAGAGTAAAAAAAAAGGCACACCAAATCATGGGGTGTTCTAGACCCTTTAAGCACCTCCTATCAAATGTGGTAACAAAAAGAAAAAGGAATGAAGACCATTCTATGAGGTCATAAGACCATTTTACTACACATTGTAGATACCCTAAAGCCATGCCTATAAGGCCATAACACAAAAGAAAAAGGCACTAATGCAAAAAAGGTAATCGTTGATGGCCAAATCATATTTCCATTGGCATATGGTCCGACTAGCGACCGAAGGTCAGTAAAAATTTCCCTCAAAAAAAGTAAAATAGAATATTTTTATAAGCGGGGCATCAGCCGCTTTAGAAAATATATTTTCATTGATGGGTATCTAAAGGGCACCGTCTATGAAAATCAATCTTCACAAGCGGAACACTTAAGACACCCGCCATAGAAATATTTTCAATGCGCAAAAAGAAAAGTCTGACAGATCACATACCTCGTATTCCACTCAACAAATTCATTCATAAACCTCTCATAATCTATTCACAAATAATGAATTCATCACATAAAGAGATGAGACAGATATGGGCACAAAAAAAAATCCATCATCAAATGCCAACAGAAGGGGAAGAGAGGGAGGACGGGAGCGGAGCTGGATGTGGAGTCCTCAAGCACCTTCTCAACACCCCCACCCCCACCTTGCCATCTCCCGAGCCCTACCGCCCGTCCATAGTTGTACCAGAGCTTCGTGCAAGATTTGCCCAGCCGCCGGATCCACGCCCGTCACTATCGTAGTTGCTGTTATCGTCGTCGAGAGTGCCTCGGCGGAGGTAGGGAGGCTGGAGGGAGTTGGGAGGGGGAGGGAGGGATCAGAGGCAAGGAAGTGGAGAAGGAGAGGTAAGCGAGAGGACAGGATGGGGGAGAAGATGGACTCTGGCTCGTGTGCTTGGGACTTGGGAGTCCCGCAATTTAATATCGCGAATTTTTTAGACAGTGCTCTTTACCAGCTAAGAGTAAAAAAATTGAGTTTCACTAGCTATCACTTATGAAGTCCGTTTAGAAAAAGAACCATATTTTTATATACGAACCTCTTAGATGACCGCCAACGAAAATCGGTTCATTACTAGAATCCCTCCAATGCATTCTTACAAATGTATGTTCGCCAAACCCATTAGTAAAAATAAAAAAGAATGGTGTCACGAAAAATGGTTTTCTTTAGTCAGGGGGCACCAGCGCCATAGCTGCAGGTAAGGGCAACAAGAGACCGGGCGCGCGGCGCCATGGCCGCGGGCCGGGGGAGCAGCGGAGCGATGGCGTGGGGAAGACGACCTCCTATAGCCGTTAGCTTAGACAGCAGAACAACGCGTACGTATAGCCGTTACACACTTTCCAACCAGGAGTACGTATTCATCCATGGCTGCTGCCTATACTTGCCTAGTATACGATACACAAGCATACATACACACTCGATCTACGTATAGCCGTTGGCCAGAGTTGCCATGCATGAAATCCTTTGCATGCAGCTATGGTGGACATGGTATATGAGGTCGAAAGATTCGGCCGTATCGTCTCCAAATCCTGCAAAGATCTTTGGAGATCCAGCACCCAAGATATCACGTACCATGCAGGATCCGGAGGAGGAGGACGACGATCAGCAGCAGCAGCATCCGGCGGCCAGGAGGTGCGCCGCGTGTCGGTACCTGCGGCGGAGATGCGCCGACGACTGCGTGCTCGCGCCCTTCTTCCCGGCCTCCCGCCCACACCGCTACGCCTGCGTGCACAGGGTCTTCGGCGCCAGCAACGTCGCGAGGCTGCTCCAGGTTCACTAGCCACCACTGTGCTATTGCCATCTGCTACTTGCTCACTTAATTAATTACCTGATGAAAATTAGTGCTACTACTTGTAGTAAATTTTCCAGAGTGTAAGTGCATTACATTAGTTACGCTTACGCATTTTGTAGTGAAGGGCCAGCGTGCATTTCTCTACTAAAGAAACGCTTTCTTAAACGGTCAAAATCTGTTTTCGCAAGCAGGATGACATTCCTATATGAAGGCTAGAGAGTGCTCGTCTGCAAAAATCATTTCTGTATTAGTGTATGTTCTGTGAGGGTTTTTTTTTTCTTTTTTTTAAAAAAAATAGAAATGTGCATAGGCTGGATTAATCTTCGCTATCAAGAAAATATGTTGCATCTGTAGTTAGGCTGCGTTCGTTTGGAGAACATAGGGAGATTGTTTGTTTCGTTTACCGCGTGCACGCTTCCCAAACTACCAAACGGTGTGTTTTTTGTAAAATTTTCTATATGAAAGTTGCTTTAAAAAATCATATTAATCCATTTTAAAGTTTAAAATAGTTAATACTCAATTAATCATGCACTAATGGCTCACCTCGTTTTGCGTATCTTCCCAATTTTCTCAATCCCCTCTCCCTCAAACACAGCCTTAATCTTATTTCGGAATAGATAGTTGTCGTGATGAAAGTGGGTAACGTCTGATCCATATCGGATAGTCACTAACATATGAACTCATACTCACATGTCACTAGCTTGCTGTGACTATATGGATATGCAGTAACCTAAAGGGATTCATGTTATGTTTACCCATAACATATTTTCAAGCATATTAACTAACTTTTTATTGATGACTGATTTATCTTCGTGAACTTTTTTTTTGTACGTACTAGAGCTTGCCGATGGCGGAGAGGGGCAACGCGGCGAACACGATGGCGATGGAGGCGTACTGGAGGGTGCAGGACCCGGTGTACGGCTGCACCGGGATCATCAACCGCCTGCAGGAGGAGATCCGAGCCGTCCAGTGCGAGCTGGCCAGGACGCAGGCTCACCTCGCCATCGCCGTCGCTTCCTCCCAGCAACCTCCACCTCCACCTCCTCCGCCACCATTGCCGTCGCCGCCGCCGCCGCCGCCGCCGCAGCAGCAGGAGGAGCAGTCGCCGCCGCCGTTGCTGGATCCGGCCGACGAGTTCCTCAACCTCGATGGACTTTGAGCTTCGAGTACGTGAGCCTCAAATCCTACAGCTGAACTAATAATTGGATCTTAAACTGATTATTTTTTCAATAGAAATCATGCCGCATTGAACAACAGTGACAAAATTTAGGTGTTTCTTCCAAATGACAAATTACAAAAATGGTTGTCATTACCTAGAGCAAACTTGTAGACTCATAGATACAGGTTCAGTTCAGCTACTATATATTACTGCAAGTGCACAAGAGTGTAGTTTCAACTAAACACTTATAAATATCCCTTTATTTGCTTGCTCCGTCATTCAATCCATCAAAACAAGATAGAAGGAAATTAAATTAAGCTAAAACTCCAGTCCTAATGTATATACTTTATCCTAGTTAGCAACAAAAAACAAACAAAAGAATACGACAATTTCGTACTTACAAACATGTACAGTTTTATGAACCCCTTTAAATAACACGAGGTTAAAGATTGCTTCCCCGAGTTAGAATTTGATTTATATTAACTCCGATCAAGTGAAGCCAAATATCAACGATTAGGGTGTCACTTGACCCGGCGCTGCATGCAAAGCTTCCACTACAGGAGTTGCCTGCAAAAACAATATCTTGTCCTTTTCTTTGACCCTTGGATATTTACACTGAATATTTGCCGGTCTTAGCTCTGTCCACTCTCCTCTTCATCTGCATTATGCAGTGCATGCAGGGTAAGATTTTTGGATAAAAATAAACAAAGGTGTGACTAGTTACTAGAGAGTGGCGACTTACCTCGCCGTGAAGCTCTTCTCCAACAAGTAGGCTTGAAATAATCCTGGAGAGGTCTTACAGGCACAGGAATGAATTTCCCCAGATATGCCAGAGGCCAACTGGTAACATCACAAAAAGGAAGAAAACATGTCAAATTTCTGCAAAGGGGATTTGAGCTCAAAACGTGTATTCGTTACATATGCCACCGACATCAACATCATGACAAGAAAGTAAAAGGTGGATCTGGCATTTTTTGTGCATATGTCGATAAGGGCATATCAAGAATTCAAGACCATAGGTTACTACAGTCTTGGAATGTCCCAATGCAGACTAATATAAATCGCAAGAGAACCAATGATATAATAAATTATTGATCTGGATTCCTTTACAAAATTCTACACCACACAAAAGCACATGAACATCAAACTGAGTTATAAACTAGAGATTCTAGCACAAAAGTGGTTGCAGAATGAATAAAATCAAGTGCATACCTTATAATGCCAATAGCAACTGAGACCAACCATAATCTCCAATTAAGTCTCACAGTTTTGAAGAACTTTCCCAGGAACTCAATAATTAGTATCTGCCGAACAGGACAGCAACTTTATCAGCAATTCATGTGGTAAGGATGATAGGGCATTCAGCGAAAGAACACTATCAGTTGTTACCTGAAATACAGTAGTTATAGCAATTATTCCCATGAAGAGATGGTTTTTCGTTATTCCTTTGAAGACATTCCTCTCCTCGGGCTTGCGTGCATTGAACTCGTTGAAGATCTGGCATGCAATGCATATCAAGTGTAACAAAAATAAAACTTTGTTCCTCAAGACTTTATATAAGTGGGACTACAGAACTATATAGTGAGCCAACATCAAGTTTTTTTTTTCTCTTTTTTTATTATAATAAAACATAGAGAACTTTTTGAGCATAATTTGATGCCTATATTTATCTATCTAGTTATTTTTATCTAAGCGCACAAAGCATCGGATAATTTTCTAGAACAATCCAGTGCCAATATTTATCAGTAAGAGAGTTTATATTTTGGCTGTGGTGTATTCTGTTAAATCTCTTGAATAAGAAAATAGCCAACCCACCTGGCAAAAGACAAAGGTGTTGAAGATAAAGGTGTTTTGTGTTTTCTCAGCATCCTCCCGACTATCATTCTGTAACCGCAGTATGCTTCTTCCAGAAAAATCAAAGATAAGAAGGATCGCTATTTGGTAAATGGCCTGCAAAAGATTAAAATATATCAGAATAACAAAAGAAGATCCAACATTACTCAATTATCTGCTGAAGACATACAGTTGAGTTGCTTAAATTCTAACCTGGACAAACAAGTTTCGCCACATAATATTAGTCACAAGAGGTTCCCTGAAATAGCGAAAGATGGTTAGTATTGTGAGTTATCTCAAGAACAGTTCAAATTATATCTCTCCAGAATGGCACAGCTTGGGACACCACTCAAAAAGTTCAGCGTCCATCATACTCAGTAACATGTAAATACAATAGCAATGGTCAGGGAAAATTTACATGCCTTCGACCAACAGGCTGTCTCTTCATAAGGTTATCCGTCGGTGGTTCAGTTGCTAAAGCCAGAGCTCCCAGTGTATCCATGATTAGATTTACCCAGAGAAGCTGAAATGTGTAAAGGAACAGAGCAGCATTAGAGTTGAACTGAGCATACAAGCCCGTCGAGCTTAGAATTAAGAATTTCAGCATATCCACATACAATATCACAACAAAGTGTCTCAATGGAATAGGCAATAGGTAGCTTCGCAATGGCAAACAAAATAGCAATTACATAGCAATTGAATAAAAGAAAATTGCTCCAACCTCAACAGCATTTAGAGGCACGTCACCAGAGGACACAGCTGCAACAACATTAATCACGAGTGCGGCAACATTAACAGTAAGCTGAAACTGGATGAATTTCTGAATATTTGCATAGACAGACCTTCCCCAGCGAACAACCTAAAAAGAACAGAAACTTGTTAAATCCATGCTTTGAATCTCAATTAGAAGGAGTTTATGTAACCAAAAAATTAGAAGGGGTTTCTGTAACCAAAAATAGTGCCCAAGAAGTGAGCTGTCCACCAATGACTTTTCAAAATTAATTTCAAGTCCTAATATGCAAGCATCCAAGTATCAGCATGAGGCAATATACTGTGTAATCCATCACAATTTATGAACCTTGCACCAGTAATTATAGAAATTCATGTGATGACAGACTTACTGTTCTGTGCATAGGCCACACAGAAAGTGATACACACAGAAAGTGCTACAGGAGAGGCTTCTATTTTTGCTCCCCAAGATTTCCATTTGCTGGGAATTTTGGAAATTTTCATTTGAACTTTGGGATTTCAGTAATATTATTTGAAAAAACAACCATTACTGACTGCAGGTATCAAACACTCATGCACCTAGGTTCCAATCCAGCTGCTTAGCACCAGAACAGGTATTTGTTGTAAAGCACACCATTGAACTTTATTCTTGGCCTTAGAATTCAAAGTTCAAAAATATTCAACAAAAAAAAAGTGTTTTGGCTGAGATTTTTTCCCCTTGTTATAGAGACTCCCCTTGAGCCGTGATATCTGGCTGTCTTTTCACATATCTAAGCACCATGCTGTTGCATGTGGCCATGTGAGATAATTTAGTGTGAGGGTATGAGGAATTCCATGGTGTTTGCTTAGTGACATTATCCTTCATTAGAAGGTATTCCAGAATAGTTTGTTCGGGGAAAAACAAACCTTCACAACTGATGTGAAGTTGTCATCCAAGATTATAATGTCAGAACTTTCTTTGGCAACTTCTGTCCCTGAAATGCCCATTGAGAGACCTATATCGGCCTACACAAGAAATGGAATGACAAGGAATAAGAACAAGATGATAATCTCTGTGATAAAAGAGAACAAAGGGAGAGTTCATCAATATCATGAGAGATATGCACTTGAGAGTTGAGACCTCATGCAATGCAGGAGCATCATTTGTGCCATCACCAGTAACAGCCACAACATGACCCTTTCTTTTCAAAGCTTGGACAAGCAAAAGTTTGTCATTTGGAGATGATCTTCCCATCACCTGCAAAATTAATTAGTTTTGTCAGTGTCAGAAGAATGCCTACAATGCTAAAAAAAGATTCAGTTGAGACAGATGTCAAAGTTAGAACCTAACAGTGCCAAAGAAAAATGTGCAGGCAAAGCTACACACAAAACTGACCCCCACATTAATCACAAGAATGGTTCAGTTTAACAGCAATATATATCACTACTAAGTAGTGTCGAATATATATACATCGAGATAAAAGGAACATAGAGGATGAGAGAGTTACTGTTATTTTGTCAACAATATCTCCTCTAGCAGCTTCAGACATCTCGCGAAACACTTTTCCCTCTATTACAAATGGCTCCACAAAAGCTCCATTTGCATCTAATATTCCACACTCCAAAGCTATGGCTTTAGCTGTTTCAATGTTATCTCCAGTGACCATGCGCACCTACATGTACACAAAGAATTATCACGGATAATGTAAGAAATAATATCATTTATAAGGAAGAAGGAAAACAATATGCATGACATGAAGGCCTGACATGTTGGTGACACATCAGTTGTATGTATAGGATGAGGTGATCTTTTTAGTGGTGTATTACGAATTGTCCCAATGAAGGACCAGAACTATCAGACTAATAAAGGACAATGCACCTAGTTGACAACATGAAAACTGAAGAATAGTAAAGGATTGCATATACATTGCCAGTTTCTATCACTTCAGATGTATAGGACAAAAAGTTTCCCAGCGGGAAAATAAGACTAACATAAAAAGATATGAGTAAGATGTACCTTTACACCAGCATTGGTGCATAATTGTACAGCACTCTTCACTCCTGGGCGACAAGGATCCTGCAAAAGAAGAAATTCTTTACAGCACAAGTAATACCTGAATGTTATCATCAATAAAATGCATAGCATGATTAAAAAGAAGCTTATGGCACCCAATATAAATAGAAGACGACATTTGAAAACCAATTGTAATATATATCAGATGTTTTTGTCAAAGCCTAACCATGTACTCTGCGAATCAATTCATCAAAGTTATCCTATATCTTGTTTAAAAAGCAAAAATACATTCTTCATAAGCAAGAGGGAGATAGAAAAGAACAGGGCAATATGCATGATGCTCTTCTACAGAGAAGCATCTGAAGGGATACTGATTATTTCTGCCAAATTAATACATCGAATTCCCTCAAACACACAGCTAGTCCGAAATAACCACCACATACCT